ACCAGAAACAGATTTTGAAGCACTCTCCATCTCCTTACAGGTGCAACTTTACCTGTTGTCAGCACACCTGTTCCTAACAGTAGTTCTTGTAGGACAAGCCTAATTAGTTTATTTTATTCTCTTAAACTTGCAATTAATATTACTATTTTTAATTTGGTTTTGGTTGGATGCAGTCATACAATTTGAAGACCAGCATCCTGATGGCATGGGAGTTTCGGCAGTTGGCATGGCATTTGTGTAGAATTGTGATCATAGTCACAGCTGTAAGCCCGTAACATTCATTTCTTACAACCATATCTTCAAGACTCCTGTCACCTTACATGATTTGGAAAGGGCAAGAGGAAATGGAGGTTGCTTTCTCAATACAAAGAAGCTCGAGCATAACAATTTTAATGCCGCTCTCAAGAAAGGCAACAGTATCCGTGCAAACTCCTTATCTAGCCAGCCTGCTACTCAACAATTTTCACCATCGATGAGAATCAAGGCTCATTAAATGCATCACAATCCATTCACGAAATGAAGGGTTTCAATCATAGTCACACAATTCTCAATTCGCTTTGGTGTATGGTACACATCTCTCAAAGAATTAGGTATGACGGGGTATATATAAAACGGTGCTTAAGTCATAGTTAATTCCTTGATGTACTAACCATATTTACTTGCACTCAAATGCAGGTTTTGAATATTTGCAAAGGTTTACTACCATTAAAGAGAATGCTACATCACTCAGAAATTAAAGACACTCAGAACTATGGCAAGGTCATTCAGAACTATAGTGAATTACTTTCAATTGATGTAGAAGAGTTAATGCAAAGATTTGGTGGTATTTCCTAATGGAGTCTGCGATATCAGCCCATTAAAGACACTCAGTATTACAAGCTTTCTGCATTTCCTAAAGAAATTGGAAAATGGGAGAATTGTAAGGCTGAGTTCCTGTCCTGATTTGGAAGTGATACCAAATTCCATTGTAAAGCTTTTATCTCTAAGACATCTTCACTTGTCTACATCTTAAACTGCATAATAAACCTTTCAAGTTAATCTAAGGAATGTTGATGATGTAAAGAAGGAGGTAGAGAAGTCAAGTGGTAGTAGCATTGTTCAGAGGACTTTATCAAAGACTTCCACAAATCACAGTGATGGAGGCAATTTGGGCTGAAAAAAATATAATTGAATATGTATTGAAAAAAAATAAAAATGAATAATATTCAGGGTTCATGAGTTCCAATAATATTTACTTACTACTCTTGTCCTATGGATTTTGAGTTCTTCCAAATTAGCCGTGTCAATCTTTGCTGCAGCCTCAGCCACTGTAACCTTAGGCCTCTTCTGCTTCACCTTCGCCTCCTCCGTATTCCTATTCTCTGCTGAACAATTAACATCCACATCGTCCTCGCATAGTTATCGTCATAGTCATGTGACTGCTGCTGCTTCGATTGTTCTGAATAGTCGTTGAATCTAATATGTTTTGCCTTCTGAGCATAGAGTATATATTGGCACTGATCATTCAGCTGCAGCTTGAGCAATTGGAGGATATCCTCATTTCTATTGATAACAAATTAGTTGGAAGCTACAGAACCTTCTGCCCGTCATGGTCGTCATAGTTAGCTACATAAGAGTATGCTTTGATTATAATAATTTTTGCATTGTAATAGTTCAAGTTTTGAATAGTATTCTCATATTTATGAACTTTTAATTGATATGTTTAGTATATAAAATATAAACAATGTTATCATTTTTCCTCATATATATATATATATATATATATATATATATATATATATATATATATATATATATATATATATATATATATATATATATATATATATATATATATATATATATATATATATATATATATATATATATATATATATATATATATATATATATATAATTTAGTATTATTTTGTAAAAGAATAATTTTTATTAAATTCTTTATTAAATCAATCTGCCACTTTTTACGCAACAAAAACAAAGAATAACTAAAGATAAGGAGTCTATATCCAATATATTTTAAATATAAGATTATATTACAATAAAGAGTTAAAGTAAATTTTTTATTTGATACATTGAAATGTTTGCTATTAATTATGTCTAGGTAACAAAAACGCTTCTAAGTAGATTGATTAATTTTATAAGTATGTTTGAAGGTTCAATTGAGTTTTTACCCTCGTCTTATAATGAATTAAGTATATAATATTTAATTGATCATTTTTTGTGGCTATTAATTTAGAGAAATTGAATTGTTTAACAAAAATATTTATGTTTTCATATAGATTACGTTTGGGAGTACCCTATGTATTATAGATATTCAATTCCTTATGATGTCAAGATTTAATCCGAATTAAAATTAAAACATTTCAATACAAATTTAAAAGATTGTTTAAGATATCGTATATCAAAAGTTGTCTTGGTAATAGAAATTCTCTTCTCTACATTGTGTGATTTTAAGTGATTATGTATTCTTTAGCTATATCGATTAATTTTATAATTCTTGTTTTATCAGTATGTTTGAAGATCCAATTGAGCTCCTACCTTCGTATTATGAATTATTTAATAAAAATATTTATGCTTTGATACAATTTATGATTGGGAGTCCCGTATGATTTATAGATCTCCAATTACTTATAATGTTCAACTTAAATCTGCGTTAAAATTAAAATGTTTCAATACAAATGTAGAAGATTGTTCAACTGATCATATCATCGATCAAAATTTGTCCCATAAAAATAGTTTAATTGCACACAATCTACTTTCTAAATTATTTGAAGAAGAAATTTCAAATGAGATTGAAAGTTTCATGACAGTCTCTGAAATAAGTTTGAATATTAAAGATGATTTGAATAGTAGCTCTGCTATTGACGAAGATGATTGTGATTATGACTGTAATCAATAATTAAAAAGGTGATGGAGCAACTTTTTCAAAGTATATTTGTATTAGACTTTAGATGATTTTGTTTTGGTAGATATACTTTATTTAGTAGAAGCGAATTTAAAAGAATTGGGAAAAAATAAAAGATCTGTGGTTGATAAAAATTATAAGCAAATAAGTTGTGATTTTTCAAAAACTTAAGGTTTTCTTTACTTAAAAAATCAGTGCAGAGTAAAATTTCCAATCATAATTTTGTGAATTTAATTAATTTCATCCTACAACACCAAGTGACACTGCAAATACAAAATAAGAGGCTGATTTTCTATATGCTTTAATTGCAAGCACTTTCAAGAATATTTCTATGCAACTTTTGTGTTACATATTTTTATACTTATGTTGTGTTTTAAAAAAATATGATGCAAATGCTTTCATGATCATTCACTCGCTTAAATTTTGAAAGATTGTCAAAGTTTAGTTAACGTTGAATTGAATTGAAATATGAAGCAGTAAAGTTATATTCTATTATTCAGAAGCCTTATACACTTGTTAACAAAGTTGGTATTTATACATAATACAGGAGACATGGCATATAACCATTGAATAGATACTAACACATACGGTTTGAGTTATTTTAATAACTTTCCTTAATTCAAAACTGTTACAAAGACAGTACACTCATCATTTTCCTCAACTCTTTGAACCTTTCACTCTTCAAGGGCTTGGTCAATATATGAGCCAATTGTACCTCAGCTCTGCAGTGTTGAAGCTTGATTCTTCCCTTGCTTACTTGGTCTCTAAAGAAGTGGAATTTAGTGTCAATGTATTTACTTCTACCATGTGACACATGATTCTTGGCCAAATCAACTGTTGACTTGCTATCTACCAGTAACTCCACTACTTCTTCATTCCATAGCCCCAATTCTTTGAGTAGCGCAGACAACCATAAGGCTTGACAAGCAACTGAGCAGGCTGCAATATATTCAGCCTCACAGGTTGAGAGTTCCACCACATTTTTTCTTGGAACTCCAAGATATAGGGGAACTTGCAAACAGAAACACTTGCCCCATGGTACTTCTTCAATCTACCATATCTCCACACCAGTCAGAATCAGAGTAGGCTACAAGATCTAAATTATTATTCTCTACACTATAATAGGAAAATAGAATGCCATGGTTTAAGATTCCTCTTATGCACCTCATGATTCTCTTGGCTGCAGTCATGTGTGAATGTCTAGGATCAATCATAAATTTGCTAACCAAGCCTACAATGAAAGTTATCTCATGCCTGCTATGACATATATATATACCTCAGGCTACCAACCATATGCCTGAACATGCCCTTCATCTTCATATTTTGTCAGTTTCACATTCAATTCATCAGGAGTTTCTGCTGGCTTGCATCCCATCATCTTGAATTTCTTCAAGATTTCTATTAGATACTTCTTCTGATGCATAAAAATGCCATTTTCTGAGTACACAAACTCAAATCCTCAGAAGTAGGATAGAGCACCCAAGTCAGCCATCTCAAATTCACTTTTCAGTTTCCTCTTGATTAATTCCATGGCATTTGGACTGCTTCCTGTGATGACCAAATCATCAACATACAAACACAATGTTAGTAGCTCATGTTCACCAACTACCTGAACATACACACCATGTTCTGCTGAGCATTTTTGAAATCTAGGGTTGTTGAGGAATGAGTCTATTCTTTTGTTCCATTCCTTAAGGGCTTGTTTTAATCCATGGAGGGCATTCTTCAACCTTAACACTTTTTGCTCTTCACCTTTGTATGTGAAACCTGGAGGATGCAACACAAATACTTCTTCATCAAGTGGCCCATTTAGAAAGGCTGACTTGACATCTAGCTACCACAACTTCCATTTCTTCCAGCTATCTATTGAAACAATCAATCTTATAGTTTCCATCCTTACTACTGGAGTAAACACTTCATCATAATCCAAACCTTCCTCCTGCATAAATCCCTTTGCCATAATTCTGGATTTGTCCTTGGCTATGGATCCATAAGGTTTTAGTTTGGTCTTAAACACCTATTTGACATCAATTGATCTTTTGTTTTGAGGAAGATTTACAATCTCCGAAGTATCATTCTTTTCAATACTCTTCAGTTATTCTTCCATAGCTAGTCTACATGCTTCCTTTGAGATGTCTTCCTCAAATGATATATGTTCAATGTCTGCCATAAGATCCATATGGTGCACCAGGTCACCTTCTGTTGATATATTTCCATCAGAGTAAATTTGATAGTCAATAATCCTTGAAGGAGCTTGTCTTGTTCTTGTAGGTCTGTCTGCAACTCTTAGAGTTTCATTGTTAGTTGCACCGTGTTGTGGTTCCATTCTTGGGTTATCTTCTTCCTAATAATGCTGGACAGTTGACCTCGTGTTGTCCTTTGATTGAAATTTTTCCCATGAACATGCTTCATCAAAGTAAACATCCCTGCTGAATGTGACTTGTTGGTTCTCTGGGTTGTACAGCTCGTATGAACCAGTTGAATTGTAACCTACAAAAATCATCTTCTTATTTTTGTCATCCAATTTTCTTCTTCTTCTTCTTTGGTCAGGTACATATTGTAGCACAAAGATCCAAAGATCTTAAAGTTCTTAATTGAGGGTTTGTTTCTTGACTAAGCTTCTTTTTGAACCATAGAGTCAAGTCTCTTGGTTGGGCACCTATTTAGTACATGTACTGCAGTCATGGCAACTTCACTCCAAAAGCTATGAGGTAGATTTTTTCCTTTGAGCATACTTCTAACCATGTTTAAGATGGTCTTGTTTCTCCTCTATGTATCCCCATTGTGTTGAGGTTTATAAGGTGTAGTCATCACATGCACTATTCCTTATTCTCTGCATAATTCCTCAAATTCTCCTGATGTAAACTCGCCGCCATCATCTATTCTCAGAGTTTTGATATGTTTTCCTGACTGTTTCTCCATAAGGGCTTTGAATTCTTTAAATGTCTTGTACACATCACTCTTGGACTTGATTAGGTAAATCGATAACTTCCTGTTAAAGTCGTCAAAAAAGGATATAAAGTATCTATTCCCTCCTAGTGATAGAGTATCAAAGGGACCACATACACCAGAGTAGACTACCTGCAATACTTCACTAGCTCTAGATATAATATGGTCACTAAAGGAATTCCTAGATTGCTTGCAGATTAGGCACTTATCATATATTTTGTTAGGAGTTTCAATCAAATGGAGTCATGTAACCGTTCCCTTTGACCCCAGTTGCTTCATATCTCTAAAATTCAAATGGCCTAACCTAATGTGCCACAATCATGAATCGTCTTTCAAAACAACAACAAAAAACACTAAGATTATTTGGTGTTTAGGCTTACCTTTAAGGTTCTATTCTTGGCCAGTGGTTCTCTCATGACTAGCCCTCATGTTTTGTCATAAATCTCCAGAAAAGTTTTGCTTATGGAAGTTACAAAACCTTTCTCTAGGAGCACACCCAGGCTTATCATATTGGTGGTCATCCCAAGGATAGATAATACATTAGTGAGAATGACTTGCTTCCCATCTTCTCGGTTGACAATGACACTTCCAGTTTCTTCAGATTGTGTGGCCCCGTTATCAGCAAATTTCACCATACTTTTCTTCCCTAAATCAAAATTGACTAGCCAATTTCGATGCCTAGTCATGTGTTTGGAACACCCTGAGTCTATGTACCAAATTTCATTGTTCTGCAAATCTGGATTAGTGATCATCATCAACATTAAGGGTTGATCTTCTGCGCATATTTCATCTTCTTATTTGGCTATATGCACTTGATTTCCTTTCTGATTTGATGGAGTTTTAAAATCTGTTGAGAAATGTCCAATGCAATTATAGATATCAATCTTCTTCTTTCCACCTCACCAATTCGTTGCTCCTCCCCTTAGATTTGAGCTTCCTGATTAATCTTGATCACTCTTTTCATGTTCTTGGTTATGAGAATTTCTCTCAGGCGTACTTCTGAAATTTTTTCCACGACCCATTCCTCTTGATCCTGATTTAGGGTTGAATCCACATTTTATTGGTATGTATGCTTGCAGAGCTTGATTATCACTGATTTTCTCTCTGCCCCTCTCAGCGATTCTTTTCTCTTGAACTTCCAGAGAACCTTATAGTTCTTCAACCTTCATTTCTTCAATCTTTTGGGATTCTTATATGGCCACCATGATATGATTGAATTTGGGGGTTAGGGTTCGTAGGATCTTTTCGACAATCATTTTATTCGCGATCGTCTCACCATAATTCTTTATGGAATTTATGTGTGTGATGATTCAATTGAAGAAATCCACTATATTTTCATTGTCTTCCATCTACATCAATTCATATTGACGCCTCATCTCTGTAACCATACCTTCTTTAATTTCTCTGCACCGTCGTTGCACTCTTCCAAGATTTCCCATGCTTCATGCGAATTTGAAGCTCCTGTAATTTTCTCAAAGTGTGTTTCATCAACACACCGATGAATCAAGAATGTTGCCTTGCAATCCTTCTTCTTGTTTTCTTTATGAAGCTTCTTCTGTGCATATGTGGGTTGTGCGGGAGTGCTAGGTAACCATCTTCTATAATTTGTGACTTCCACTACTACTGAGAATCCAGTTAACAACGATTGAGAAAGATATATAACAATGCGGACTTGAGTGTTGTTATGTAGAGTGTCCTTGAATATATGATACATATAATCACGACACAGTAGCCTCCATAATAAATTAGAAAGTGCACTCCTTATCACAACAGTTTTCTACCGTTGTGATAAATTTAATGGTCTTGGGTTTGATTCTCAAATGTGTCATTTTAATATTTATTTTTTTCTGGACAGCGCGCGAGATATTATACCGGTTATGACTATAACCGTTGTTAAATTTTCTGCATAATTAACAGATATTATCCTACTTTTATAATTAATCCCATTTTTTAACCTGCATTGTTGTTCACCGTATCACAGGAGAAAATAAAACTCACATATGTGATAAAGTTATTTGAATAATATTAATTGTATCATATTCATGATGTCACATGATTGTATCATATTCATGATGTCACATGATTGTATCATATTCAATTGTACGATAACAAACATCCTACAATTTATCGGAACAAACAATCTACAGTTTACACATTACATAACATCACATAATTGTAACTTGGTATTTTGGTGTCTTGTCTCCTGGTGTATTTACTCTAAAGACCTATAATTTCAAATGATTATACTTGTTATTAAAAATACTTGGAAACTATAACATACATGAATATATTATGAATAAAGAATAAACTATGTACCTATTAATTTTCCCAAATGCCTCCTTCATGATTGATTCGAATAGCATATACAAAATCTCCATCAACTTCATCAAATGAGGTAGAAACTTGTGTTGTGTAAGAAGGTGTGGACAAAATATCAAGACTTTCATCACTAAGAGGTGTGTATTTTCCTAGGAGAATGATTGACCATTTCCCCGATATGTCTGATGAGTCGGTAATATAGAAAACTTGTTTTACTTGAGAAGCCATGATGAATGGTTCAGTCATAAAAGATGCCTTTCCAAGGTCGACCCAGGTGAATCCGAAGTTATCAATGTGTACACCATTACTATTATTGAGAATCCACTTACATTTAAATAAAGCCACTTTAAAAATAATATAATTAATCTCCCAAATCTCATCAATGACACCATAAAACGCGGTAGTTAACAATACATTCTTATCTTTCGAACTAGAGAAATACATCGATCCAGATTCAACCATAATCCCACTATTTTGCATTGTACTATGATCATATTTTGATTTTGTATAAAAGTTTAATGACCAATGTCGTACGCAGACCAAGTAATGACACAAAATTTTGGCTCGTATGATAACCATTTAAGTATCTCGAATGCAATGTGATCATTACATACACTTTTATTAAACTAATCTAAGAATCTCTTGTTATGCTCTATCAACAACAACTTGTCACTCATTCGGAGATATTTTTCTCTCAAAAGTCCTTTGTGAGTATCTATGAAAGATTGAACTTCATTTATATTATTCAATATATAGAAATGTACTTGAAAAACTACATCCCGGGCCATTGACTTAACATTTAGACCTTGAATACCTCTTCTGTCTGTGTGATCAGCGTGACGAGACTTTGGAATGCCTATAGAATCTGCTTAGGACAAACAGTTCGTACAAAACTCAACAACTTCTTTAGTGATGCACCTTTCAACAATTGAAGCTTCTGGTCGGTGATTATTCTTCATATATCCTTTAAAGATATTAATATATCCTTATATTGGATACATCCACCTTAAAAAAACTGGACCACAAAATATAATTTCTCTGACTAGATGAACAAGTAAGTGAACCATAATGTCAAAAAATGATGGAGGAAAGTACATCTCTATGTGACACAAGATTATGGCTGCCTCATCTTCTAATTCATCTAATTTTTTTGAAATCAAGACATTTATTACATATGGCATTGAAGAATAAGCACAATCTCGTTATAGTTACTCTTACATTCTTTGGTAGGATCCCACGGACAGCCGCTGGTATAAGTTGCTGCATCAATACATGACAATCATGATATTTTAAACCAATTAACTTGAGATATTTCATTGATACAAGTTTCGTGATGTTTGATGAGTAACCTTGTGGAACTTTAATACCTTGCAAACACTCACATAAAATTTTCTTTTCCTTTTTAGATAAAGTGTGACATGCTGGAGACAGATAAGTTCTTTTTCCTTTCTCTGTTGGAGCCAACTATTTTCGTATATCCATCACCTCCATATCAAGATGGTAAGCCTTACTATCTTTAGTCTTGCCTAGAATATTTATAAGTGTTCCAATCAAACTACCACACATATTTTTCTCCATGTGCATCACATCAAGACAATGTCTAACATCAAGACTTGACCAACATGGAAGATCAAAGAAGATAGACCTTTTTTTCCATATTTTTTTGCAAATGCCCCTTTTTCTTTTTCTCTCTTCCCGAAGAAAACATTAATTTGTTACTTCCATTGATAAAATTTATCCCAAGTTAAAGGTTCACGAGCCTCATCATACTCTTGCTCTCTATTAAAAGCCTTCCGCAATCTACGATAAGGATGATCGGGTTTTAGAAATTTTTGATGCCCAAGATAAATGGTCTTTTTTACAAACTCAAGTTGGTGATAACAAGTATTATATTCAAAAATAGGACATGCTTTATGTCCTTTGACACTATATCCAACCAAGTTACCATAAGCAGAAAAGTCGTTGATTATGCAAAATAACATTGCACGCATCTTAAACTTTCCCCCAGAATATCCATCATCAACCTCAACGCCTTCATTCCATAAGATTCGTAAATCA